GCATGTTTTGCAAAGGCTCACCTTCCTTATTTCTGCCACTGACCAGGAGTCCGGTGACCCCGCTCGTAAGGCCACATTGGCTTTCCGGACGGGGCCTCCAGTTCCGTGGCCGTTCCCCTATCCGCCACCAGGGGATGCGCCTGATAGGTAGCCCAACCTACGGGAGTGGTGGATGATATAGTGATTACTGCCAATGACCTGATAGAAGGCGAAATGAGTGAAATGAAACCAAGTAGCCTTCCATCAACAACTTCCCATTTGCTGCTTCTACAGAGAGTAACATTGGATATAAACAAATTTTCGTAACCATACTATGGAGTGCTCGTTTGGAACCATGGTCGCGAGTACATATAGACATTCCGAACCTTTCGAGTGAGAAATGTGACTAATCATAGTATATGCTCATACACGCTAGCTCGAGATATTTCTGATGAAAAACATAACCACGTTGTCAACAATTAACGTGCTTCGTGATGTTTGGACGACATTCACGTACTCTGTTCGACCAATTGAAACCCTTCTCATTCCGAAACATGGGTAAGGCTAAACTTGATCAGAAACCAATTCATAATTGTTTTGAAATGACTCGATCTTCCATCCTAATCAGGCAGTCTGATCGAATAATCCACTGGTTAAAGGACCCACACCAGTGTATCTTATTCATATCTCGTTGAGGTAAATGGAACGTCAAAAAGAAAGCATGGAGACTAATTAAGACCCCGTTTAAATCAACCTAACCAAGTTAAACAAAAACAGTAACATGTCAAGGATTCTGAGAAACATTTCATGCATTGCGAAATGAAGATTCTACCAAAGAAAGTTTGACACAACCTGTGAACCTCCGAAACTCATTCCTTGTTTTGTTTTGGTAGGAAAAATTGTAGTATCATGTTCCATATGCTTTGAAATCGATTGTTAATCATGTTCATATAGCGACTCTAACTTGTTTACAGTTTTGATTTCGGTTTTCAACTAACGTTTATAATGTTATGTGACTAACAGAATAGAAAGTGATTATTGCAATCAGCTCAACCGCATCACAGTACCTGAAGTTTTTCATGAAGAAACTTGAATCTTTCAAAACCCAGATTCGAAATGTATCAGATTCAGATTGGACAAAATTTTTCAAAAACTATCCCGATATTCGTCTAAGAAGAGAGAAACCTGTCTGCTGAAATAGAAACACCACTCTCCAAAAGTGAACATTCATTAAAGGCATGACATGTTTACTGTAGAAATCGGAAGGTGAAACCTATGATGAAATTCTTTAATAAAAATCGAAAATGTATTTTAATGCTTTAAAATTTATATATTCCATAATATTTATTAATTTTCAGATCGCAAATGCAGCCGTTTCCAATTCGAATGTCGATCAACAAGAGAATGTATTGCAATCTACAACGCATGCGACGGTATTCCTCAGTGTGCCGATTCTAGTGATGAAGCTCCGGAATTAGGTTGTCCATATTCAATGACCACTCCTTTGCCTCTTCCGGTACATGTAAATAATCCACCTGCGGCTGTTAGATACGAAGCTAATGTGAGTACATATTATGAATAAGGTATTCTATTTTTTTTGGTCTAGGTAACACTATATTGACCACTTCATTGAAAGGGGTATACTTTCAGGAGAGATTAATTTTATGGAAAGAAAGGTTTCAGCTTTCTACATCTCCATCTTTATACAAAAAAGAATGTGGGCTTCTTGAAAAAAAAAGGAGGAAAGCAAAATAAACTCTTCATTAAGATGTATACATTATGCAAAAGAAGTAACTTTCAGTCACAAACTGGAAGAAAAAGCCTCTAAAAAAACTACTTTTATATGAACCTTCAAACAATGGCGGGAGTTGGCCATTTTTCGCTTGATTATAGGTTTCCATATGTTGTGTACCTCTACGCTACCTTGGCTGAATACATTGTTGGATAGCATGTATGCGGCTTCTTTGAATTTCCTCCTAAACCAATGTTCCTCTTTGTGTATGATCTCAGCTTGGGACCATTCGATGTTATGTTGATGGGTCCAAACATGCAATGCTATTTCTGATTTGCTGGTTTCCCCTCGCTGTGTGTGTTTCTTGTGCTCGGCAATGCGAACATTCAATGGCCTCTTAGTTTCACCGATATAGGATTTCCCGCACTCACTGGGTATCCGGTAAATGCAATTCTTGGAATCGCAGTTCTCGTTTGGTGGCCTGGTTTTCGTGAGGCTGCTACAGATAGTGTTTCCGGATCTGAAGCAGGTTCTGATATTGTACTTGGATCCAATTCTTCGTATCTTTTCCGATAATCCTCTGATGCAGGGAAGTGCAAGCTCTGGTTGTGACGGCTTCTCTTCCTTTCGGGGCTCCTGCTGTCTTTTAGCCAAAGTTTGTTCCACCATCGCTTTGGAGTAGCCATTTCGTTGAAGATAATTTTTGATGATGTCTAGTTCTTTCTCGAGACCTTCCTTCGTATTACAAAGTCCTAAAGCACGGTCTAATAGAGTTTTGATGATTTAATAATGCTTCAATAACTTTTAATTATTATATGTGGGCGTTTTCGATAGCAGTCTGTGGTATCATATTCATGGATCTACTCAAACTGAACGTTATCTTCTTGTTTGTTCTTTTATATGGTTAGAACTCCTTACTGCCACCTCCTTTCATCCGGCTGTCTCTTTACATTTTCCTATACTTGGGTTACATCAGGCAATATTCTTTGTGTTGGTGTTTCTCTAGGTTCATTTTTTCTAGGAATGTGTATTGTATATTGAATGTGTATAGTATATTGAATGTTAGGTCTTGTTGTGTTTTGATTTGTATGTGTTCCTCGATAAGTTAATTATGACTTTTGAATTTATGGATGTTTAGGTTTTCCCAGATATCCATACGGTTTCCTTTATTGACTTGTAGTAAAGAATATTATTATTTGGATATTTTTGAATTGAGTTATCTAGGCGGTGCAAAACTCCGCATGATAAAGGCTACTTCTATGTATATTGACAGATTCTGGACCTGGTGGCGTACAGTGAAAAATGTATCTTTATTTTTGTAAACATATATGCAGAGTTTATAGAGGTCAATAAGATGTGTTCATGTCAGTGACTTGATGAACATTTTTGTGCATAACAACTTTTTCTGTCTTATAATTCGAGACAGTTCTTCTATACTCATCCTAGTACCTAAGTGTTGCAAATCAAAATAACCGTACAATTTAGCATTTGCCAAAAATCTCACGTTAAAATGTAAAACCCCGTTAATCCGTAGCTCGCACAAGTTTCGACTTCTTAGAGTTGTCATTCGTAGGAGGATGAAAGTTGGTAACGGAAAAACATATTTCAACAAATGTAACATCGTAGTTATGTGATTATTGAGAATTTAGAATTAGAAATGAATACAAAGTTTTTTGCAGGAAACCCAACGGTCAGAAAATGGATTTAACAATGAACAGAAAAACAGGACCTGGGGAACTTTGGCTTCGAACAAATGAAGATATCAGGGTACTTATATTTTTTTTAATTATTTGTTACAAGAACAATTCCAATTGAGTATAATTTTTTTAACAACATTCAATATTTGTAGTTATCTTAACTGAAACTTTCATAAGATATTGTACTACATTAGTTTCATTCAGACAACGAACCGGGACATCTCATATAAGAATTGGATATTGTAAAGACTGAACCGATGAGGTCTAGTCAAGGATTTAACATACTGTTACGAATGTTAATATTCAACAGTCAGTCGGTAGCCAAGCGGTTCGGCGTGAGTGCTTTGTTCACTCACTCGAATTGAGTGCCGTGTTGGTCGGTGGTTCAAGCCCTAGTCTGAACGATCGATCTTCACTTGCTACCGACCAACCTGTGTTAGGAATTACACGTTGAAAGGTAAGACCTCGTTAATCCTTAACTCGCACAAGTTTCGACTTCTGAGGGTTGTCGTTCGTAGGGGTGCGACAGCTGGTTAACGGAAAAACAGAAAAACAAAGAAAACATTTTTTTTTAAACAGTGTTGTCATACTATTTGTTGTGAAATTGGCCGCGGTGGTAGTGCGCCAGACTAAAGATCGGAAGACCGTGGGTTCGATTCCTGCCTCGACCAGATATTTTTCTCGAGAGAATGTATCTGGTTGAAGCTGGGATGATTCTGCAACCGTGTTAGGAATCACACGTTGAAAGGTAAGACTTCGTTAGTCCTTAGCTCGCAAAGTTTCTCAACTTCTGAGAGTTGTCGTTCGTATGGGGGCAACAGCTGATTAACATAAAAACAGACAGACATATTTTATTACTGTCACTGATCAAACATTTAGCCGAGTGGTTGTGTGGAAGCTAAAGTCCGCCAGAATAAATAAAGACAATTTATTATTATTATTGAGTGAAATATTTAGGGATCATCAACAAATACAGATACAAATATGAAAGTAGCACCTATCACGATTTTGTAGCTCTTTTATAATGAAAATCCCAAAGTAAACTATTCCAGTAAGTTATCGGCCTGTTCCATTCGATATGGAAGTAATTGTGCCTCCATTTACTACAGAAAGTGAAACATGTGAAAGTGAATGAACACTTGTAAATATTTTTGGGAACAATTCTTTCTACTTCTTCATACAAAATGTATGGGAATCTTCTGAGAACGAGTTGCCAAAAATAGAATACAAAGGTGAAAAGGAAATCGATTTGAGGTTAGCAAAAGAAAATAACTAAAAAAGTGAAGTCAAAGTGCAATGTCAGTGAGAAAGTTGATATTATGGACAATTACTAGTGTTCAATATATTGGGTTAGAAAAGATTTTGTAAATTGATTTTCACATCGAATCAATATATTTTTTTATCGAATTCAATAACTATATTGAGAAAATGTTGAGGTCAATCTAAAATATATAGCCTTTGTCTACTACTTCGTCATGAAAAATCATAATCAAATAGGTAAACAATTTCAGGACGTCAAATTAACCACTAATAGTGGATTTTTATGAAATTCCCCAAAACAGCATAAAGCAATAACAGAAACATGAAACTGATTCAATTTTATTTGCAAAACCGCAATATTGTATTTCCTTCTAGGTATTTTTCCACGCCCCAGAAGATGTACCGTTCATAAACTCGGATCCAGATCAAAGAAAAGATGTTATGCTGGGCGAAGTTTTCAACATATCTGTAAATGTAAGTATTTCTGTAATCCATTTTCTGTGTACATAACTCATTCCTAGCGCAGTAGTGTGACTATGAGGTTTCTAGGCCATCTGCTCAGGAAACCTCATACGATGTTGGCTGGTCTAGAAACTTCATACGATTTATGTGCTGTGATATCAATAGTATAGTGTGTGTAGCAAGGGCTGAAGAGTTCTTTGTGTAACGACGTTTTCAAATGAATTATAGAGTGGGACGTTGTTGGATGCCGCCATTGTTGGATGAGGAGTTATGGTTGTTGTATGAAACGTGATGGCATGATGATGTGTTATTATTGTATGAAAGATGGTGGTCTGCTGAAATGTTATTGGTCGTGTGACATCGAAGGCGGTTGGTCAAACTTGAGTCAAAATAGCTGCCGCGCAAAAGAGGGGCAAAAAAACAACCTCTCCTGAAAATATACTCCTTTCAATTAGGATAAAATATTGTACGTTCACGAGTTGTTTTTCTTGGAAGTTGACGTCATGATAGCGTCATTCATGGGAAACTATCAGTTTGTGTGAGTGGAATAATCTAGTCTTGACATTCGGTAGTTTGGAACGCGGCTGGTAAAAAAAACTGAGGTTGCGCTGCGAGTGGAGCTGCGTGCTAGCGTTTTTGTGGTTGAGAACGCGCTTACATGTGTTAGTCGAGGATGTAGGACATTATGGAACAATGTAAATGTAGACAAGTAAGTTATGGAAGTAGGGGAGAAAAGTCGATTCAACAGAAATTACTGGATGTGCGGAGTTCAGTGAGAATTTTTTTTAACGAATATAGACGTAACTTGAAAGAATTTGTTAACCAAGTGCGCGCTCTGGTGATAGATTTGCGAGTTTTACGAAGAAAATCATCCTTGTTTTAAGTAGTTCTCCCGAACCTTTCCATATTCCCATCATTGTCTACGAATCGGGACAAAGTAAACGAATCGCTTGACACGAGTTGGTTCTCGAAGCCAACACCGACACAAGCACCAACGAGAATAATGGTGAAACGACTCAGTAAGTTGTGGTAGCATACAAAAAACGAATTTGCGTAAAAATTCATAAACTTTCTATATACCACATCGTTTTGTCGATTTTGGAATTTTTCAGGACCCTGCGATGATTCATCATAAAGTGCCAAGTGCTGGATATCAGAAGAAACTCCTCTGATTCCTACAGCTTTCTGGTAACTTTTGACATAATTCAGGTCGGTCAAATGAAGAAAGTATTTGATCAGGATATCATTGACGTCATCGTAGGTACTATATGACCCCTGACTTATACGGATTCCGTGAATGCACTTTTCCAAATAGGAATAAGAAAATAGTTAAAACACCGATCGTAAATGAATATTTACGATCGGTGTTTTACTTTAAATGTAAATTTAAATTTATTTTACTTTAAATGTTCACTCAGCGGTGTTCTGACAAGTCGAGACAATCTTTTGATCTAACAACGGTGAAATTCAATGTCTGAGTCAGCGTTCTGCTCGTCTCAATTCGTTGGTTATTGTTCGTAATAAATGACTTAAGTGCAATATTGTTTTCCAATTTAAATTAAATTCACTTGTTGTGGTAATTTGTTTTTGTGAGTCGTGCAGGTACGTCTGATAAAATGTCTTGACATCGTCAGATGATGGTTTGATCAATTCCAAAACGTTTTATTAACCATGTGTCATTAGAATTCGTCTACTTTACATAGATCAATGGAGAATTCTAGTCTATTATTCAATACTTTAGACCAATTCAAGTAACACTTCATTGTGAAATTTCCACTAGACAGTTGATAAAACCTCAACACGTGTTTCGCTATGCAATAGCTTCATCAATCGTTTCCATGCTCATGTTTTCATACATGCAAAGAAGTGGGTGGGTGTAGGGATTGGTGGGTCTAATATAAGTCTAACATCATTTTAGGTTATAGAGATAAGCAATGACGAGAATGTATACAACATACCTGTTTATAAACGCGGATGTAAATTTCCATGGGAAAATGAGGAATTGGTGGTACACGATCATTACAGTTATTCTACTTGTGTTGTACAATGCCACGCAGAAAATCATATAGAACTATGTAATTGCACTCACCATTTGATGCCCAAGTACAGTAAGTCTCATTTTCTTTTGTTCACTTTAACATTTTAGGTATGATGTGGTCTTATATTCAATGATTATATACATATTCAACATATTAGTTACATTATTAGAATTACGTTATTGTGATTACTCTTTTTTTATTTTTGGGTATTGAAACCCAAAATCTCGCTCTTCACTTAATGAAAATGATTATTTTCTATTTTTTCAGATAGAATTAAGTACTGTGATATGGAGGGGCTGAAGTGTCTTACTGACAATTTTGGTAAGCAAGTTTCTCACCAAGTTTGAGATAAAAACTCTTTTCAATTACAGAAACGGTGAATCGATTACATGCCAAGGGTACTGGGTTGGATAAACCTGGTCTTGTTTGTGATTGCTTACCTTCATGTGTAGAGCCAGAGTACAAAGTAGTTTCCGACACAAAAGTGTTAGTTTTGTTTTTTTGTGATACTTAAGAACATACATTTTGTACTTTTTTTACAGGCTGAAGACAGCTCAAAGCGAAATTAATATAAGGATGCAGTCTTTGCCAAACTCAAGATTTAAAAGGATCGTAATAAGGACAACACTGGATTTAGTTGGTAAATCACAACCTATTAATGACATTACTTGAGTGCTTCCCATATATCTGCTAACGCAGTTGTCGGTTTCAAAGATTGTTTTTTTGCATTGTCTTCAAGCGAAGACCGCTTACCCAGTACTGATGATTCCCAAGAGGCTGAAACAGTTGTTTGCCTTTGACTTTAAATTGGAATCAAATTGTGAATGATCATAATGGTACTTCTATATTTATATTTTCGTTTTCATGCAGTCTTTGCCAAACTCAAGATTTAAAAAGATCGTAATAAGGACAACATTGGACTCAGTTGTTAAATCACAACCTAATGATGGCATTACTTGAGTGCTTCCCATATATCTGTTAACGCAGTTGTTGAGTTCAAAGATTGTTTTTTTGCATTGTCGTCAAGCGAAGACCGCTCACCCAGTACTGATGATGTCCAAGCGGCTGAAACAGTTGTCTGTCTGTGACTTTGAATTGGAATCAAATTGTGAATAATCATAATGGTACTAGTTCTCCATTTATATTTTGATTTTCTTAAAATAATTTTCCAACATTGAATATATTAACCTTTTTCGAGGTAAAATGACTGACTAAAAATACTATTCATTTAGCAGAAATACGTGGTGAACAATGAATAAACTTGTTGAAGTAAGTGTTATAAAGGTATTCCAGTAATTTTACGAGTGTGAAAAACTGTTGATTTTATTATAGAAAAATTTTCCAGAAATATACAAATTTCAGAGAAATTGGTACTCTTCAAATATTCGATACTATGAAATGTTTTTTGTTTGCATTCAAAAACCAGAAAAATTTAGCAACACTGAGTTTGGTTTAATACAACAGCACAGCGCCCACCGAGAGAGTAATGAAAGTGTTAAAAATGATGCAAATGAAACAGGGTTATAAAACATAGCATAGTATTTGAAATAAAAAAACAAATTATATCTTGTGAATCTCAGGCTGTTTTACTTGTTTTTAACCTTTTTTGTCAGTATTGTAGACAACTTTACTGCAGTCGGTTATAATTTGTTAATATTCTAACAGGACCACAAATTGATGTGTGTTCAAGGGCTTCGACATGTCCTTAGACAACACTGCATGAAAGATATCTATAGTCCGTTCATAATTTGTCGATAGCACAAAATGAGGGCCCAAGTCATAAAACGGTCGTAAAACTCGTAAAATCATAGGCGGAGGTTCCTGAGGTTCCTGAGGTGTTTATTCATTAAATATAAAGCTTCAGTTTATATTCGAAACTTGCCTTGAGAGGGTGAAGTTGTTACGAACGAAAATAATTTTTGGTTTAGTACATTTTTTAATCGCATTTAATTTACGGCTCGTTGGTGTTTCGGCGTCTACGGCAGTAATTAACGTCTCTAATATTTATTTTGCGAATTTTGTGCAGTGCGTGAGTAACTTTTTTTCATATTCCTACAAACATATACGTACCTTTCGTTCCTGCTTGTTTTGTTNCCACTCAAAATACCTACATAATCGGATTAAAAGTTTTATAGCTGTATTGTATTTCTTCAGATACAAGGTGGGTTAGTCGAAAACATCTTAAACTGCCAGTTTTAGTTTGGTTTTTGTTATTATATCATATTAGCTGTCCTCTCTGTATTTCAGTTCTCTAATGAGGGTCAAACTTGCAGTGAGCTATCAACAAATTATGAACGGACTATAAACAGTTGGAACTCATAATCTTAAAATAATAGAATTTATTATTATTATCATTTATAGAATCCTTTTTTTCAGTTTCTATTGGAGGAACGGCAGGACTTTTTATTGGAGCTTCACTTCTTAGCGGAATAGAAACCATTTATCTATTGTGTTTAAGAAAAAAGGCGAACTAATGAAATAATTTACATTTCAAGAGTGGTTCTACGATCAACAAATATTGTATGAGCAATGGCAATATCTGCTGATATATTAAAGTAGATGGATATCATTACTAAAAACGTTTAGCAATAATATTTATTCATCATGTCAACCAATCTTGTACTCATTACCTATATGAAAAAAATCTTTCGGTGCACATTTTTCTGGTTTTAAAAGCACATATAGTCGAATAGTGCATATACAAGAAAACAACTTTTTGTTGCCTGAAATTTCACACATGAATATGAACTGTTTTTTCAAATAATTTAGATGTTTTGATGTAATAGTTCTAGTTTTACAAATATGAAGTTGAGGATATTTTTCATGAAAATGCACATTAGTGTTTGGATGTATACACACATTTAATAAATATGTCCAGCCAAAAAGACATTTTCTTTCATATGATTTTCTTATACGATATCCTATTAGAAGTAAGCACTATTCTATTCTGAATTCAACTAGATGAAGGTAGTAGAGTCACAGGTGATCTGAGGAGTTGATAACATAGCTTATATATAACACAAAGCTGGCGACTGTAGTTGTTGATAGTGACGTATATATAATCTTTAAATATCATTGGAGTTTTTTCCCAATACCGAGCCGTTATTTCAACACCTCGACACGTGTTACGATCACCAAGTGATCATCTTCAAAAGGAAGATCAAAACTTTTTGATCTTCCCATATTCCCATAAGAAGTCTACTCCTGCTGAAATTGTACCATATTTGCTGGAACTTGTGGGTTTGATGGATATAAGTTTGACTGTTGCAGAACACATCCATTGAAAAAAGTGCGTAACAAAATTTCAATCGACGTGACTGCACAGTTTTTTGAACGTAGATCTACTTAACTATCGAATTCATTTCATTTGGCATTATCATGATATATTCACATTGTATGTATACGTACATTGTAGGGAATAAGAAATATTCATAATAGATTTCTCAGCTTTGATGAGCCATAACAACGCCTTTGTTTTCTATAGAGATATGCATAGTTGCAGCCTGTTGACTGCAGATGCTTCTGATATTGTTATAGGAGCCATTTCGTACTGTCATAATTTTTGACATGCATGTTAGAAGTTATTTTGGGCAATCGGCGGCTACTAATAGTAATATAAAATAACTAAACGATGATCTAAAGTCTCCAAACTTTGAAGCCTTCGGGCCATAATTATTTTTCAGTTTGTTCTAAGGGCCAATTTCTGCCCTTAACTATATTTCTAGACTAGGATAGTCGCAAAGTGCGTGAGCTAAGCAAACTTGCGCTTTTTTTACATTTCAATTATTATTAGAGATTAAACGACTTACCTAAGGAAGTTCAATTCTCAATTATACGAGATAGCCACGTCCGAAGAGATCACAAAGGTAGTTGTTCGCTTCAGCCCGATCCTGTGCGTAATGTTTAAAGTCGTGCAAAAACGTATCAGTACCACCCATTGTCTGCTATCCGGGGCCTGTTTTGATTCATTATAGTTATTTTTCCCTTGATTCTCTATCTGCTAACCTGTTTTCTTTGGAGTTGATGTATGAAGCAAATATCATTATATTTCTGTTCTCACACCAATTCCAAATTTTTTGTGTTATTTCGTTCAGGTGCGGAAACAGTATTCCACCCATACGGTTTATATATGCCAAAGCCGTTGTGTTATCTATTCTCAGTAACACGTGGTAATCGGTACCAATTTTAGTAAACGACTTGAGCCCATTGTATGCGGCTAATAGTTCTAAGTAATTGATGTGATAATTTCTCTCGATATCGGTCCAAGCCCCTCGAGCGGTTCTGTCATCACAGACAGCACCCCACCCCTTGAAGTTTTCTTTCCATTTTCTTTATCTTCTTCAGGGAATATAAGGCTTCTAATTTTCGTTTTCCCATTTTGCACTTAACACGATTTTTAAACATACACACACTTCAAGCGTAAGAACTATAATGATACGTTTTTGCACGACTTTAAACATTACGCACAGGATCGGGCTGACGCGAACAACTACCTTTGTGATCTCGAGGACGTGGCTATCGAAGTATAATGAAGTATGGATGAAAAAACCAGTAAACCACATAGTGAATCATTTTGAACATTGAGGTTTTTAACTTGATGAGTATAGTCTATACGAAGTCAATCCGAACAGCTAAATAAAGGACTAATGTAATTATATCGTAATTATATCACGCCTCCCATGCCATACAAAAAAACTGCCAACATTCGGTAACTATTTAGTATTTATGCTATTCGAATTGACTTCGTATACACCTATTATACCTACCTATACCTATTTCAAAATACGGACATACATTTACTAGTAAATTGAAAGAATTGAGTGAATCATTCAATAAAATTATTATTAGTTACTAGTTGGGTTACCTGGCTTCACGCAGATACTTGATATGAAATTGTGTTGTGGTTGGGAAAAAAGTAAACTTTAAATTATGAGAGGTCGATACATTTTCATATCTTGTTATATATAGCCTTACCAGTGGGTATCCCTACTCACACAAAGAAGGTTTGAAATGGTGTGATGTTCCTGAACCTCACAGATCATTTTTGAACATTCTGCAATACTCCAGAATGTTCCTGTAATATTGTGGAATGTTCCCCATAATTCAAGAATATTCTAGACTATTCTAGAAATGTCTAGAGGATGAAACTTCCTGTTTCCATATCTTCAAAAACACGCTTTTCAAATAAAAACGGAAATTTCTCCTTGGATGGGGTATAGAGAGTTATCTGGAGTATTCCCGAACATTCCAGACCACTCCAGAATGTTGTGAATTGCTCTCAGAAGACTTGAATATTCTAGATCATTTTACACTTTTCTTTAAGGCCAAATTTCTAGTCTTCATATCTTCAAAAACATGTTTTTTAGTTAAAAACTGATAGGTAATCATTGGCTGTCGCGGGCCAGATTGATGACAATAAATCATTGGCTGTCGCGGGTGGGATTGATGACACTGGCGGGCCGGATTTGGCCCGCAGACCCTAGTTTGGAGACCCCTGATCTAAAACCATCCAATTTTGTGAGAATGGTACCAATTGTGTAATGGTACCAGTTTATGATGTAATAAGTACTATGATGGCACCATATAGAAGTAAACACTATACAGTGATGATGGAAATATTCCTCAGTTGCCAGTTTTTCAATTTTACGGAACTTTAAGGAAATGTCACAATTTCCATCCTCGTGAAACACAAATAAGGTTAACTCATTCATTGGAATTAGAAGTGTATAATGAATAACTTTTTTTGATTTAGTTCTTCTTGAACAATAATTGTATGCTCATTTTTTTTAGATTGCTTGCATGAAACAAATATGAAAAACGTTTGATATCGCTGTTAACTAGTCTACGCCCTCAAATCTTTCCTAACCTTCATTTTATGCTTTTATAGGCTTTGTATTATTCAGGTTTTCAAGTGTTGTTCAATCTGCTTGAAGTGGAATAATTGCGACCTGAAATAAAAATAAATTGATAAGTGAAAATGTCAATTATATACAAACAAATACAGTAAAATAAAATAATCAAGATGATAATGAAATAATATCAAAGAGTTATAATAAATAATGTCGAGAAAAATATTTTCCTAATCCTACAATTTCTTCACTCTTCTAGAGGTGGTGGTATTTTTTATAGATGTTAGTAATCTCGTCTACTGAAACAAACCCCAACTCCACCCGGCTGGCGCCGGCTGCACATCTACAACATAAAACGAACCTACATACAAAATTTCAGCCTCCGAAAATTTAGCGGTATACTGAGAAACAGTGATGAAAACGTAATTTTTATTACTCACACGGGGGGCTCCCCAGTTGGAATATTTGAAAATTCTTTCTTAATGCGCATCTAAGACCTAAGAAGTACCTATATACCGAATTTTGAGTGTTAAGTGAGTTACTTTCGCATTCATGAGTGTAGATCCGGAACACAGGAAAGAAAAATGGTGAACTGATCAAAAATTGTATACACCTTCGCATTTTAAGATATTTCTGTGCTGCACTCTCCTAAAGAGTTGGAGAAACGTATAAAAGTCCTGGTCTAGAGTAAAATAATCAGTTTATATATCAATCAGCGTTCTGAGACTTGAAATAGTTGTCATCATTTCGACATCGACCGCCAAATGACAAGGACAGTTGTGTGTTTCAGCCTAGCACCACTGATGATACCTTCACGGGTTGAATCAGCGCTGTCTGGTGTTGAATCACGAGCTCTTGGGCTCCGGATTCATCTGGCTTCCTTGCAGAGAAAGCTGAAGACAGACAAAGGACTAATTACGTTCGGATGTCGATGTTGAGGCTTGGCTTTCTATCGGACCACTTCCGTATTCTGTTGATCCGATAGATGGTGTCTTCGTAATCATCGCCTTCACTTTCAAGTAGTAGAGGCTAATTAAGATTACAAATGAAACAAACTTTGAAAGCATCTCTGTGACATTTGTCATTTGACTTCTTTTTGCATGAAATCAAGTTCCAACCATCGAATCACAAACTAATCAGTGCTCTCATTTGACAGGTTTTTAAGATCAATCCGATAAATAAAGATATATGGCGCAAGTTCGTTTTTCACTTATGTAAAGCTGGAGAACAAAAACTGGCATCTTTTGTAACGTCATGATTATGTTCTTCTGATTGTTCTGCTAAATTTGGAGATCTCTTGAATTGGGAACTATTGGATTGCTTTATGTATGTTTATGATCAACTTGTCCAAACCTGTTGAAACTCTATGTAAATTATTGATAATTTTTTATGTTCTGACATAATGATAATAATGATCATTAAATCCTTCACGATCACAAACTCCATTGTTATTGATGCTACGAATTCGGTTAAAGAGTCAAACTAGTAACATTTTTAATGGCCTTCTCGATACCGAAAAAAAAATTGACAGTAGCTCTTCAAAATATTCCATGAAGTAATATATTTCCAAATGAAACACCCTATGTTTTATCATGCATTTCGATTTGTAATAACATTCTCAACAACAAAGCTTATGCCACTTTTCTTCCAAAAGTTGAAAATGAGCGACTTTTGTGTAGACTAGTACAAAATATTTCTTTGTTTTGGCGAATAAAGAGCTATAAATATCGAGTAAATATTCAAAAATACCACCTTCTTGTTGAACATATAGTTGGGCCCTTCCCTTGACACTAGTTGGCCATCAATTCTATGAATTATAGTTTCAATATAATTTTCCAGTTCATCTACATTATTATGTTTTATTTTGAGTTTTCCAGAAACGTCTAACCTACCATCGACTGTGAGTCACGCTGTATAAATATAAGCAAACTTACATAGATGTCTTTACTTTCACTCTGTTGGTAACTTTTATGAAAAACTAAAATGTTACTAGCTTACTTCAGGAACTTCTTTACCGATCGCGACAGAGGACGGTTGTACCGATATCGACCGTCCTCAAAAATGGCACATGGATGTCGTGGTCGAAGTGGAGTACAAAATGAGGTGTTTTTTTGATGAATAAGGTCAAGTCCGAATAAATATTGAAATGAAAGACATTTTGGGAAAATTGGCGGCCCCCTACGCCAGTAACTAGGCTGGATGTCGACGGATTCGACGAGGTCGTCAGTGCGATAATAGATGTGTCATTTGTGAAAGTCATACTGTGAGGACTAGAGACTAGTGTTTGAAAATGAAAGTGAATCAGAAAACTTAGGGTGACAGCATTTCCTCGATCAAGACAGCTGCGCCCCCGGACGAAGCTTCTGTTCACTATGGACAGGTGGAGTCTGTCTGAATGCGCTCGACTGAGAAGCAACGGCCATATAAATAAATTAATGAAGAAGAAGCTAACTTCAGGATGTCGGTTTTCCGTGACGATGTGCGCGCGTATCGTAAAAATGTACTCCATCATTTTTCCCTAACGCGCCAAAAGAAGTAGGTATAACTTGAAAAGTAAACAAGAATATTTATGTAGAGATTCCATTCTGGCAATGGCTCTTTTAACCCTAAAAAGCATTGCGTGAAATCATTCCTACAACTCATTTTCAATGTCAATTTTGTTCTTACTTACATGCGAATCATCAGCTTTCAATTCTTAAATTGAAGGCAATGAAGGAAAGTCTACAAAGGCATTTGGATATGCATGCCGGGTCTGCATATTCAATTCAATTTTTTTCATATCAACTGATACTTGACTTTTCATTGAATTTTTTTTTATGCATGAACTTTCTACGTGTTCTCTCTTCATTTCCAGTGATTTGAACCTACACTTACAAAATTGGCAATGTAAGTGATTCAGCATATGTCTTCTCAGATTTCCTAACGTATTATGAACAGAGTCGCAAATTTCACATATGAATAATGGCATGGATTTTTCAACATATAACATGCTGGAATCGTTACTACTACTATTACTATTATTTGACATTGTTTCAGTTGGACCGGCGAGTGAAATTTTTTTCAAAACCTTTTCTGACCATGAATCTTCTGATAATATTCTTTTAGGCTTTGTAACTTCCTCTTTGGGAATTTTGACTGAAGTTTTTTCTGGTTTAGATTCATTCGTTATAGGTTTTTCTGGTGGTTTGTCAATATTCTTGTCCAGATCTTGTACTTGTACTCTTTGACTTTTGAGATTGGACATATTCAAGACTGCAGTGCAACTAGAAACTGTTTTCAAGGTATCAATACTATTGAAAAGTTCGATGGTCTTTGCTGGTTCATAGGTCGCAATTGTTTTCAGCGATTCTGATGCAGGTTTCTTCTCTTGTCTTTTCAAGTAATTCTGTACGCTATCCACTTCCATAACAACTGAAGGATTAACATGAAATTGCAGGCTTATTCTTGGTAACATGATATTGGGATGTGTTTTATAAACATCTCTTATAGTGGGATGAATATTTAAAATTGTCTCATTGACATTTTTCTCGATTACCTTTGGTTCCACTCCTTCCTCTTTTACCGTACAGTCCGTGATATATGAGGTTTGGTGTAAAGTTTTATATCTATCCTAAAAATCGAAACAATATTTCATTTTAGGTTTTACATAGGATGAGTCAATAATCGTTGCGTGCGTTAAAAATACTAATCACACTTTTCGTTTAGAAGTTGCCAAACAAATATGATAAATGAATAGTCCAGTATTCTTGAAATCATCAGAAATTTTTTGGTATCAAAAGAAATCGGCTGTACCTTCAAAATTTTGTTGCTTTTTATAGACATCTCTCGGAATCCATAAGTGATCTTAGCCAACTGATAGCATTCTGAGCAAATTTTTTGCGATATAACGTCTTTATAGTGTATCTGAAATAAAAAAAAACTAATAAATAAAATTCTCTTGTCACAATGTTAGTTGCCGTACTCCTCGGAAAAGGTTCAACTGATTTCCATGAAATTTCATGTGTATATTCGGTAGGTCCGTAAATTTATTTTGATCTATTGTTCATATCCCTAAGTGACAATGGTTTTCACCCCAAAACTTAATTTTTTTCTGGAGAAAATTCTTTGTTTGTAATTTTTGAAAATATATACATTGAAAATACATACAGCCCTCAATTTTTACCCTTCTATCATCAATCTCTATTTTTTAAAAGTAATTTAATCATTTTTAACCCAGATCATCGATCAGTTATTCCCGCCAGGCCTCTACCGGCGTCATTTCTCACACAGTAAACAACACGGAGTAGGTATATGAGAACGAAGCCAGTCTCCTATCTCTCTCACACAATAAGCATACACAGTTTTCGGTCAATATTATTGTTTATCCATCCAGCGTAGATACAGTTCGCGATGCCACCGAAGCTGTGAATTATTAAACAGAGTTTTCGAAATCATTTGCCAGGCATACCACCGCATAATTTACAACTGAAAGTTCTATCGCTCCGTAATTTGAATCCGCCACGGCTGTGTCATCAAAAAATAATGAAAAACGTTGTCGCAGTCAGCATTTTAAATAGCAAGTCCGAGGTAAAAATATATTAATGTCAGGAATACTTATTATACTTACAGATATGCCAATTCATCTTAAACGTGTACAATTTCCAATTAGATTGGCATTTGCAATGCCTATTAATAAGTTCCAATGCCAAACAAGGTCCGTTTGTGGTTTGGATTTGAGCACACCGTGTTTTTCATACGGACAATTACACGTGGGCAAACCCTCCAGTTTGTTTGTGTGAGCTAAACATGGACTAACAAAAAATATTGTACACACTATAGCATTAAAGGGATCAATATTATTCGTAAGTGTTGTGATAGAAATAATGTGCAAAACAAAGTTTGCCGGGTCAGCTAGTATTTATATATAAATAAGAATTGGTTTCGAATTATGTAGTTAGATAGTTAATGAAAATAATAGTTAACGAAAATAATAAACCGAATAAAACAAAAGGCAATTTTCAATAATCTAACTTTAATAAGATGATGTGTGTAAATTCAAAAAAGACTTTTTGTAAATACAATATGGGGAAGGATCGGTCAACACCAAAATTGTCTATTCCTGATTCAATACTCGTCGTAAGTTTAAATTTTTTGAAATTATCTGCTATATAATTATTGTAGGCAACAAAAAAGCTAACGAGTGTGCCAGACATTATTCCTCAACTCTATATATAGGCCCTGAAGCGGGCCAAAATCTTTGGTGCGGAACCAGAGATAAGGAACACAAAAAGTACTGGGAAAACACATAGGGAAAACCCTTATAAAGGGGACGTCCGAGAAAAAAAAAAAGAACTGCTTCAACAAAGCACAGATCGGCTCAGAATATTCACAGCGCTAGCTAACTCAGTAAACTCTTCAATCTTGGAAACAGGAAAAAGTCGCAAGGGGCCAAATCTGGTGAATAAGGTGTCATTTTTTGTCAAAAAATGACAAGTAATGACGTGTGAGCAGGTGCATAACTTCAAGATACTACTCCTTATTGACCGTACGACCACGTGGCAAGATGCACTACGCCACGGTAATCTAAGAAGTGGGCAAAACCTTGACATCTGATCGAACTTGGCGTCCTTTTTTGGTTTTGGCTCTCCTGGGCTCTTCCACTGGGACGGTTCGACTTTGATTTTGATGTCATAACTATGATTCGTCACCAGTTATGACTCTTTTAGGCAAATCTGGATCGCCGTTTACGTCATTCAACAATTCCCGAGCGATGCGCATCCGACGGTTGAGTCAAAATTCAGCAATTTTGGAACGAACTTGGCTCCACACGCCCCATGCCCAAAATATCCGAAAAAATTGTATGGCATGAGCCTACCGATATGTCGACATCCTCAGCAACTTCTCCAATAGTGATTCGATGAATCTCCATAACAATTTTCTTCACTTCCTCAATATTTTCATCAGTTGTTGATGTGCTGGGGCATCTAGGACGAGCGTTGTCATTCATATCTTCTCGACCTTCTGGAAAAGCCCTGTGTGAAAAGTTTGTACCACTTGTAAACATTTTAATGACTCTAAGTACAATCACCGTATGCCACTGTCAACTATCCAATTGTTTTTGAGTACTTTATTTCATTATTTACACAAAATTTGATGCAAATTTTTTTATCCTTTTTTTCGATAGCACAAAATATCATAACACGCAAAACATTTCTAACTGTTACGCCTCTCACCAACATTTCAAACGATGTTCCATTTACTTAGGATCACGATCACTAGTTTTTTTTAAAGCTTTTATTTAACTTGACTTGTATGTATGTTAACAAATCTTGCAAGTTCAATTTGACCCACTTCTCGGTATCCGATTGACCTGAAATTTTGCATGCTGGTCAAGAACCGATGACAATGCATGTTAGTCATAAACGTAACCTGATGCTGCTGCCAGGATCGGCTCCGTGCGAGAGATCTCCTCAGCGGTAAATAGCAGGGACACGAAATTTTGTATACGCATTCGTTTATGATAGGCAGTTGGTAGGCCCACCATGAAATAGATGCTATTTCCAGGGTTCACTTCAATAAAAAAATATATTTCTAGAAAAAAAATTAAATCAAGTTTTCACCTTCAAATACCTACTTCCCAACTCTAAAAAGAAGACAATAAATGGTGTAGTAGGTTGTAAGAACCGATATTTATTTGCATTGTTAAAAAATATTATTATCTACCACCCTCTAAGTTCCCAGAGTAAGAGGGTCCATCACGCAATGTGAGCAACAGGCACAAGAGGCATACCATGACTTGTGTAATTTGGTGAGATGGGCGTCATTAGCATTGGTCTGCAACCCATCTAGGAGAAGGAAAACTCCAAAATCAAACCCAGAACGGTGTTTCGTCAGGCACGAGTAAGCTCTAATCTGAAAAAAGTGGCGCATCTTTTACCAAATTACCACCCAAGTCAAGGTGAGGGCGTGCCGAGGACTGAGTGTCATCAGGGTGTAAAATTATGTCGTGAACGTACCACCTCAGGGCACCGGAGCGCACCCTGTTGTATATTAGCTCTTACCCTGCTAAACGAAGCTCTGGGAGGAGGAATATAGTTTATCCTAATAATAGTTTTCCCCGTTCCTTAAGTTTTTCTGTTGAAGGACTCTCCGTTTTATTGATCGATGACTATCGATTGAAAGTAAAAAATATAAAATAAAATAACGATATAAAATCTTTTGAAACAAGCTTTTTTTAAGTGCCCTAAAAAGATCAAAATAAAATTTTAAATCACATTAACCATATTCATTTATAACTTTACAGAATTATCGCTTGTCGCGATAATTTCAATTTGTAATTGAAATTTTGTAATTAGGTCTACTAAACTTGTAAGCAATTCATAATGTTTGTAATTAAATAAAAGTGCCGTGAATGCTTAAAATGTGGAACTTCATCCTTGAATAACTTTTTTGCACACATAGGATTTATCGGGTTTGAAATTTAGTGCAGTACCTAGTTGATCTCTCAGAATGTTTCTTAATTTAAATTTCATCTGACTGAATATGTAGAGATTTCTTCTAGGCATCGCGACAAGCTTTTATTATAATTTCAATTCTGTAAAGTCATAAATGAATGTGGTTAATGTGATTTAAAATTTTATTTTGATCTTTTTAGGGCACTTAAATAAAAGCTTGTTTCAAAAGATTTTTTATCATTATTTTATTTTTTCAAATAAGGATCTGTGATGACCCGAAGACTGTGGATTGTAGAAGATTGTGGATACTAACAATCGATACGTTGTGAAGTAACTTGGCTTGAATTTTTTTGATTTTCAGTTCACTCTAATTGTTCAATTTTCCATTTCTTGTTTAATTTTAATTTTACTGTAATTTCACTTCAGGATTTTTTGCTTGATATAATTGTTATTTTCAGCTATCCATTTCAATATTATTTGTTCTTTCAGAGATATCACAACACAACAAAAAAATATTTTTTGAATGTTTCCTACACTAAATTAGTCAATTTCTACTTATTTTGGGGTGATAAAAACGAAAATAACAATGAAAAATTTTTATTAGCTGTGTTTTTTGAGATACACAGTACTTAATCTTAAAGAGTAGTTATACTATACGTGAAAAGTGAAAGTACATAAAACAATATTGTTATGTTTCTTTTAGAATATTTTAAATACAAAATTAATAAAAAAAACATTATTCTTAACATTAAAATCATCTAATTTCAACCCCGAAACAAAAACTTTGTTGTGTTGTGTATCAAATCATATCATATTAGACAATGGTAGTCCGAACCAATGAAATTCACCATGTTCGGCTACTTTCTGCTCTTTGAAAAATGATCAAAAAGAATTTGTATCAAATTTTGTGTGAAAAATGGAATTAAGAAATGTTGACACTGGCATACCGTGAGTGTACTCTGAGTAAGAAATATGTTTACAAGTGGTATAAGCTTTTCCAGAAGGTCGAGATGATGTGAATGACGACGCTCGCCCAGAACGCTCCAGCACATCAACAACCGATGAAAATGTCGAGAAAGTGAAGAAAATTGTTATGGAGAATCGTCGAGCTACTATTAGAGAAGTTGATGAGGATGTCAATATACCGGTTGGCTCATGGCATGTAATTTTTTGAAAATTGGTCATGAAGCGTGTGGCAGTGAAGTTCGTTTCAAAATTGCTGAATTTTGACCCACAAAACCGTCACATGAGCATCGCTTAGGAATTGTTGAATGACATCAACGGCGATACAGATTTGCTTACAAGAGTGTTAACTGGTGACGAATCATAGGTATATGGTTATGACATCGAAACCAAAGTCCAATCGTCCCAATGGAAGAGCCCATAGGACAGCCAAGACCAAAAATAGCACGCCAAGTTTGATAAAATGTCAAAGTTTTGCTCAGTTTTCTTTTATTACCGTGGCGTAGTGCATCATGAGTTTTTCCACATAGTCGTATCATGAAAGCACGGCGTTTTGCGACGATTGAGGAGATAAAAATCAAATCTCAAGAACATACCAAAAAAAGAATATCAAAACTGCTTCAAAGATTGGAAAAATGCTGGCACAAGTGTATCATATCTGAGGAAAACTACTTTGAAGAGGACAAAATATACATAAATGAATGAAAACATTTTTTTGAACACACCTCGTACATATAATTTAATCACTAAAATTATAAACTTTGTCCTATAAAGAAGATGCACTTCTTATTAAAAAAATGGCGTACTTACGTCTATTCCAGTGACTATAAATATGACATCTCTCAAGCTTGAATTTTCAGCACCATCTAACGTTTGATCAAATATCCAAATAAGCTTATTTGTTGCTAAACATAATCTACACATTTCGTTTAAAGATTCCATTTCGAATCGAAGCTTTCGATCAGAAAAACTCACTCTAGCAATGATGGAACGATTTGAATGAACTGAAACGGCAGTGTTGTTCCTTCATGAAAAAATTTTGTGAGAAGTCTGTGACAAAAAGTAACTTTGCAGAAAATAAGGATAGATATATGAGCTGCTTTCTTTTGGAGACTGATCACTGGAAAATAACACGTTTTGTTGATTGTACATTGTATTTGTACGAATAAAGAATGTAATTCGTAAACGAAACGTGATGGATTCAAATTATTAGTCCGTCAGTGTCAAAAGAAAAGAATTACGGACCAGTATTGCCAATCACTGCATAATTCGAATATAAGTGGTAACACTGATAATGCCTTGAATTTTGCGACTTCCCATATTTTCATATTTTTGATCTACAAAAAACGGAGTTTTTGTAATATATCAATATTCTTTCATGACGACACTCGCCGAAATGGAAAACTATTAATAGTCAAGCATTCCTGTTTGTTTCTGAATAATTTTTTGAATTGTTGATTCCTCTTTCCTTATTTTTTTGTCAAAAAAATGAATTGGATTTCGAATGAAATATTTGAAAGCGAATAATTTTTATTTTCGATTTATGTAAAATATATATTTTGATATTCGTAATGTTTGGAACAGAAAATTAACATTGAATTTTTCATTCTTTCAATAGCTAAAAAACTAAAATATGGTTATTTAATATCGGACAAAGGAATAGATAAGAATAAAAAAATAAATATGTATTTTGAAATAAAATCTCGAAATATTCATCTCTACCTACACGGTAGGTTCTGGTAAATGTCTGCAGGAAAACAACTATTTCCCCAGCTAATACCACGCTGGATATTGAATTATATCCGACAGACATTGCCACACAGATGTTAGTATCGCAGATGTTTCTGATTTATCCAGCAGCACGACCAAGCTGAAATTATTCGAGATCACCTACAAACAGGTATCGAGATATTACCTCTCATTAGTGCAGTGTCTGGGACTCGATTCATTTCAAAGCATCTCGACTTCATGTATGAAACCTTCACCTAAGAAAAATACTGTTTACTAGTAACAGCTCCATCTGGTGAACAAAGCAACAAGCGGGAAAGACACATCCCATGTATAGTCGAAGTGTAAATAGTTAAAGCTATCGACATCTCAAAGGTAAAAAAACCAATACAGAGAAATAATGCCACTGCCAACTAGTCCACGTGGACCTAAGAATTGGCGGTTCGTATTGGATAAAGTTTACTAACCGAGTTTCATGATTGGCTGAAGAGTCATAAAATTAAATTTGAAGTCATGTTACGGTGACGAATAGAATGTGGGGATGAGTATCGCCGTTGTGTCGTCGATGTTCAGTTGAGGAATTGATCACGATTTAAGTGTTTGAATTCGATATTGGTGCAGTTATAATTACCTAAAATTTTTGTTATCTGTTTGAAATGTGGCGTCCCTGGACAAGTACTAATAGTAATAACAAGTGTGATAACAACGCAGACTTTTTCCTGTTTAGTGATTCCAATAGCGATGGTGAACAATGCGAGAAAGAGATACCAGTGGATAAGATTAGGGTGCATTTGAATATTGAAACACAGAGAGTATGTTTCAATGTATATAAGAATCTACATCTCAAGTTTAGTTTCGAGGGAAATAAACTATTACAAGCAACATCAGATTTGACAAAAATTTCTTTCTCGACTGTACGTAAAATAAAACTAATTAATAAATTAATGTATTAATTAGTTTTTTAATATGGATTTTCATCAAGTATCGGCCAGTTCTATTCAATTATTGTACGTAAAATAGTCAAAAACAAACCTTATGAACGCATGACGCGATGTGATGTGGGATTATCATACGTCCATCTAATAAAATCATTGAAAAAAACAATATACGACTGTTACAAAAGCAATGAGATTCCTAAAACTTGACATGTATCAGTAATTTTTCATAAAGAAGGTTTTTAGGCTATCAATTTTTCTGTAACTTGCCTTTAGATGGCGCTGTAGAACAATTTTTTGAAAGCACTGTTCTATAACGCTGCGCACGCCTAAGTTCGTTGATTCTGTCAAAACATTGGAACACCAGCGATACAGCAACATAGTACTAGTATCATATAAAGTTTTTTGTACAACTGTTCTGTTTTCATGATAAAATAGATAAATTTATTATTTCTATAAAAACACATCTTGACAAATCTTGTCAGTTAACTATTTTCATGTTATCGCATTTGCTGTGAAGTGGGGCTTAGTCAGGTGACGCCCAATTATCTGGTTACCAACAAACAGTATTGTTTACAGCTCACGCGTTTTATTTAAACTCACATTTAAAGTTCTTGCTTGCGGAAAAAATCTCACTAGAATTTTTGAAACAATATTGTGTTACGGTAATTTTCTACAAATTGTTTTAAATACAATTGTATTAAAAAACTAAGTTTTCGAATATCAAATAAAACTATAGTTGATGATTGTAGTAATTCATCAAATAACGTATACAGCATATCAAAACAATTTATTTCAGTTTTGCTAATAAACATATCAGCAATTTACGAAAAAAATTCTTTCAATATTATAATATATTCCATATTACAATCTACTATAATTTATTGTGTATTTCTCTCCAATTTATGATAAAAATCATCTGTGAACTTAACAATGAAGTCATAAGAATGTTTTTCAAAAAACGACTAAAGTTAATATCATATATCACTACAATTTTTGGAATGAATGATAAAATATTGTGTTAGGAAAGAAACACATTTTGCGAAAATATAAAAAGTACCTCGTTTGGGAAAATCCAATATGTTAAGAAGGGTGGCCATATACAATGCTTGCTTGCACTTTATGTCTGAAGCGGCGTTAGAAGATATTTTACGCGATAGGCATCTAGTATTGTTTTGGATATTGATGTGAGAGGAGATAATCATAATATAATGTAGTGGTGTTATTTCTGTACTAAAAAGTAGTCCAGAAACCGATATAGCATGAAGTTTTCGTAGGTGAGTACGGAAGTTGTGGTAGATCTTTTATATTTTGTTTGATTTCTATGAGAATTAGTGCTATATCCCATTCTCAAATTTCAGACTTTAAAAAGGCTTTTGGATACCACTGAGGATGGTAAATTGATAATGGCTACTTATAAACCAGGACATGTATTTTTAAGAAATGAGATAGCATCCCTAATAATTAAGAATGAATTGAAATATGACAAAAATAAACGGTAAGCCACAATTTCATTGTAAAAAAATAATTTACGGAAGGCATTTGTAATAAATTGTAAACAAATTTGTCACTAATTTGTAACAAAAATATGGAATCATTAGTTTTGAAATTTTTTATTTTAAAAGTTTTCTCGCTAACTTCATAAGTATATAATTAGATTTAATTCATTTTCAGAATTTCCTCTGAGAGATTTAGAACATTGGCAAAAGAAATTTATGATATTTTTCCATATGACAACCCAGAAGTTCATTATACACACCTTATGTTGATCATAAAGGAAAGCCCAAAGGGGTAAACTTTGGTATAATTATATTTATTCATGGATTCAAATAATTTATTACTAGAATATAAATATGTTGTTTTGGTAAAATCCCCATTTTGTTAAGGACTGGCAATACTAGAAATAATTATTCTTGAAGTTTTTACCTTCCACTTAACTGAATTGATAGGAAAATCTTGAAAAATGAGAAAAATCGGTAGTTTGATCCTAGAAAATTTACTACTTACTTAGGTATACTAGATAGACATTTTCAATGTAATTATTTTTGTTTGGTTTCACGTCGTTTGTCATCTTTCAAATTTTTTATTCAAAATAAAAAATAGATCAATGATTTGTATTTTCAATTTTGAAATCCTTTACCATTTTACTTCCTAAACTATGCCTGTCGTTCCTCAACTTTTTTGACAAATCACTTTATCAAGATATGTTAATATTACATTCAACTTTTTAAATTCAATTTTTGTTATATTTTATAAATGAAAATTGAACAAGAAGTAGGTACCAGAAACATATTTTGTTTTACTGTGAAATGAAGTTGGATTGATAGTATCTGTATTATTTTCCTCCACAAATATTTTGTACTTTTTCACTAAACATTAGTGATAATTAAAATAGCCTGTTTCAAAAAGTGATAGATAGATTTTCATTCATTAATCATTGCATAGTAATTACTCATATGATTTGTTTGATTTTTCGCTACAATATATTGCAATTATTAGCACAATTCTAGTAAATTATTAATATGTGCTGTATGAATTTTTGACTGATGGTTTGGTGTTAATTGGTACAATTTTCAAAAATTCGTGATAAAAGTTAAATAATTTTTTAACACAATAAAGCTTCGAATATTTTGACAAATTTTCATGTGATTCTGTGAAAAATTGAAGCAAAATCTAGTACAATATTATTTGAAAAATCGTTACAGATTTCAATGAAATCTGTTACTATTGAGAGTTACTGGTAAAACAAGGTTATGGAAGTTTTCAAAACGAAATATATCGAATGATAGAATAATTCGGTAAAAAAATATGTACACAATGTTGTAGTACATAATATTACAAGTTGGAGTCGTCTCTATATGTGATATAATTTGTAACAAAAATGTTTACAATTATTTTGGAAATTTTCGCAACATTTTTTTTCCGTGTACATTTGTTACAGAATTTAATTGTATCTATCTTTATTGTTCATAATAAAACTTCCTTGAAAATTTAATAATTATGTTTTGTTTATTGCTATTTGGTCGAAAAAATCGTGTTAAAAATATTTTCAACGCGCTACTTTGTAAATATCATCTTTCAATACTTTTGACAACCATTAAAGATGCCACTTTTAATGACAGTTGTACAGCAAGGTAATTTTGTATCTTGGTTGGTCAAAAAGTAACATTTTGTTTCTATTCCTTTTCCTAGCAATGAATGCTCATTATAAATGCAAAACAAAATTTGTTTTTCTATCGCAAACAAAATATTTTATGATAGTTTTCTATCTGCAGTGACGTGCGTTTGAATATTTAATCAAAAATATTTTTTAAGACTAATAATTACGTTCATGTATCTGTATATCTATTTATAATTCGAAATATTCACAAAATAAATGATAGGTATGCCTATTATTTGAGAAGGTATTACGTAAAAGCAAGTGAATAAATCCGATAAATTTTCATCAAATGCTATGAATTTAAATAATTGATTTTAAGTAATGTAATCGTAATTTTCTTGTTTTTACCTATAGAAAAAATTGCTACCGGTAATGAC